TATCTCTGAACAGACAGAACACTATAAACTGTAAGCCTGAATGGGCTCAGTGTCCGCAGGCTGCGCTGGAGGCCTTGAAAGCCTGTGAATACGACCTGGCGAGGGCCTGCAATAAAATCTTCGCGGCCAGGGAAGCTGCTTGGCAGTGAAGGAATTCGAACGAAGGGTTTACGGTTAAAAGTTTGGATGTGAATTGGCTCTCAGGGTTACTTGCTGTGAACGCTTTGACATGGGGTTCAGAGTGGCGGTGCTTACAGGTCCTACAAGGGTTCTACCACCCATAAATGTTGCAGGGTTTGGGGGAATCGATGGGGTCTGGTTCTTTGTTCGTCTCAAGGTCTGCAACAATGGTCTCAAAGTGTGGGTAAGGGTGCTGCTGCAAGGAGCTATGCGCCAAAACAGCACTTAAGAAGCTCACTTACGGACACAACGTGGACATCTTAGAATCGTTAAGTCGTATAGAGCTTGCATGTAATTAGGGTTCGTGGCTTAGGCTTAAGCATTTTGCAGTTCAGTGCACGGGTTCCAGCAAACGGCAAGCTTTGAATGGTCCAGCAATGCGACTAAGGAAGCATCGCAAGTTCTGCGGCGGCGCGGTGTGGCTCCCCCAGCTTCCGGGGTTCGCGAGAGCCCGGGCTCTTCATAATGCCTGTCATCTTGTTTCAATAGTTCTTATCGGGCATATCGCGGGCTTCTGCTGATTCTCTATGGGCTCGGAGGTCTGGAGCTACGTCGAAGTCTCCCGCCCAAAGCAGTGTAATTACACCAGGGATTGCGCTGATCATTAGGAGCTCTGGATTGCACGGGAGGAATTATATAGTGGGACTCTTCGACAACTTTACCCGGAGCTTTGAGGATGGTTAGAAATACTGCTTTTGCTTTGTGGTTTCATTTCGCTACAAACTACAAGTGTCCGGACTTGCAAACGTAGCGCAGAAGCTGTTCCACCTGACTCTGGACAACTTGTCGAGTGGATGAGGGTTTTGACATCCTACACGGAAGCCGCCCAAACCGCGAAGCACAATGCACAAGTGACCTGTCCTAAACCTGCTCTACATGTGGATGATCCTCGAGAACGATGGTGGAGCCTGAATTGGGTCAGACCTATGCTTGGATGAAAAGAGGCTGAATCTAGTTCTACATGGGGTTCGCATGGCCTTGGGTGCACTGGTGATGTTTGGCCAGTCATCCAATTTCACCTGTCGCTTTCGAGATGATCTTCGGAGGTACCAGTATGCAAAGCATCAGTGGGTCAGGGTTGACGGCATTTCCGAAGACACCTGGTGGCTGAAGATGCAGTTGGATTCCCTGAGCAGAGGAACCATAATAACTTTGCATGCCTGCCTTCCTGGCAGAGAGCAACCCTCATGCGAACATCTCTTGGCTTGGGCTTGGCTTCGCCATTTGGGCCGCGGCCTGGATTTTTTCAGCGTTTTGCAAAGTTCCAGAAGATGCTTTTCCTACAGGAGTGCAAGATGCTGAAGTAGAGCGACGCGACGTTAGGCCCTGCACCGTTTGACAAGTATTTCTTGTCTTGGTGCCGGTATCCGAACTACTTCGGCGAGAGGTGTGGATGGGTAGGTCTTGCAATAACTGCCTTCCCCACGCAGCCCAGAATACCAGGAGAAGGTACGTTGCTTTTTCCCTCCGTCCCTGCTAGGCATAAACACATGCAGGCAGGATGACCTTTGAGTCGCACAGACTCGGAGAGGTCCTGATGGGTTTCAGGCTAAGTCGGGCAGAGACTGCATCACAACTCCTGCTTGGAGATGTTTTGGGTTGAAGGGCCGCACTCCGAATGGTGGAGGCAGCCCTCGGACCTGTGGGATTTATTTCCCTTTGCATCTACGGTACAGCAGCTGTCGGTTCTGTCAGGGTTGGGTTCTCTCCAGCCTAAACAGCGCCCTCAGTAACCACAGTTACATTGAACGCGAGAAGAACAGAGTCTTGCTGCACTGCTTGCCAAGAACCCATAGACCTACACTAAAACCCTGAGCCCCAAAAGAAAAGCCAACTACTTGGAGACGAGATCTTCTCGGACCGAGGCTCCCGCGCAGGCGCCGGTCCCAACCTTTGTCCCAACGATGGAGCCTTGAGAGAATTGGATCAGATGCCCCGTAGTGGCCTTTATCAGAAATGTCCGTTTTTTTTTGGGACCCCAAAAGCACATAAGCATAAGCATTTTATGGGGATGACCCTACCTTGTTGGGCTTCATGATAAGGGGATTTATATGGGATATCCCTATCCTGATTTTTGCTTATGTGCTTTTTCGGGGCCCTATTCTGGGGTTTCTATACAAGGGTGTCTTGGCGAAGCTTCCACTGGCAAGGGAGTTTAGGCCCTTCTTGGGGAGTAGGGTTTAGGGTCTTTGAGTTTAAGAACCATTTTGGACCAGGGTCCCGCTGTGCAGTCAGCGTCCTCAACCACCAGAACATACACAGCTTTGTCGCCCTTACACTACATCCTTGAAGCCTACAAGCCCTCAGTCGTAGATTTCCAACTGGCCCACTGATGTTTGTTTTTGGCTGAGAGTATTTGTGGCCTTAATGTTGGGACGACTGAAGATTAACATTGGTTTCCTTCTCTGCAGCAGGGTTTCCAAGTTTTGAACCTTAGAGTTAGGGCCAAGTCTTGGGCTATGGTTTAGGGCTTTAGGTTTTTGGGCCGTAGGGTTCGAGGCGTAGGGTGTAGAGTGTACAGCAGTCTTCATCCTAATTCAACTTGGGCTTGTCGTGTAGGCAGCAGCCTCAACCCGAAAAGGCAAACTCTACTGAGGTTGATACGCTCCAAAGGGTTTGTTGTCGTCGGCCTCCTTTCGCAAAGTTGCCGTTTGCTCTACTAGTAGGGTTCAAGCCCTGCAAACCTGAAATCTACGCGTTGAGTGCCTCAAGCCCTCAAAGGCAGAGCGAGGTTTGGAGTGGCGGGCAACAGCCATCTACAGCCTTATGTCTACACCTGACAAGCTTCAAGCAGCAATCCCCACATGTTAGAGTTCACCCCCCAGAACAGGTATCAGAGTTTAAAAGCCGTAGAGAACCAGAATCTAGGATTCATGGTTTGCGCGGAGGCGTTCAGGAAACCGGTTGGGGATCCCAGACCTTCGGACTGCTAGGTCGGCGGTTTCGGCTCTAGGGTTTTAAGGTTTAGGGGTTTGGGGCTTCGGCGGATGCCCACGAATCTGGCAGACAGCGAGGCCATTCGCAAGTGGGTTTGACCGATGAGTTTAAGTGCTTCAACTGACGCAAAGGAGCTATTCTGAAGGTCAGCATGTGGAATCGCATAACCCGCCACAATGACGTGACTGCCCAGACTGCGTTCAATCACTTTTAGAAACGTCGGTCTAGTCGATATTGATGTAGAATGCACTCATGTCAACCCTCGACAGGCCAAACCAGTACAGAGAAAACCTTCAAAGCCAGTGAAATTGTGAAAGCTGTTATCCTTCTCCAAGGTTCCGATAGAATCCATCATGGAAGCCCAACACCCTTCGCCTGTCAGCTGAGGGCACAGGGAGCGTTGGACTGCCCAACGTTGCCGGCACGGGCCTGGTACTCAGGCATTCAAGGCTGAGGGATGCTTTCATGACCATCACGACGACAATCATCCCACCATCGAACATTCGCACCATCGTTGCCGTCATCATCATGTTGCCATGACCAGCACCATCGTCATCGCCGTCATCGTCATCGTTATCACACCATCGTCGTCATGGTCACCACATCATCGTCATCGTCATCGTAAGCAGCGACAATCGTCATCTTCATCGTCACCAACGTCGTCATAATGATCATGGTTGTCTTCTTCCGACGCGGCTAGAAAGGTCTCTAGTCCAGCGAGCGCCTTCAGTGCTTTGCACCGGCCGATCGTGTCGGCATGGCACGCATGCCCTTGGGAGGCTTACTACGCTAACGTTAACTAGCGATCCACAGCTATACAAGGACCACAACACAAAAGTGGTTAAAAGCCCCTTGGCCGTCTTAGGCCTTCTTGGGAAAATAATGGTCAATGCTATTTACTGTTGAAATGCTCCGTCCATCAGCAACACGCGCAACCGAAGTGGACGCCCCATCAGAGGCTACTATGGCAGCACTGCCCGAGCTAGGTTCAGGAGCAGCTGATGCAGAGGATGAGGCACTGGTTAAGACAACGATATACATGTCGCGGCATGCTTTACTGCAATCGGCAGCTGTGGCAATGCGAACTTTTTTGTCGTCGTCGTAAACTCGGAATGCCCCTTCAGAGAAAATCAACGTGGTGTAATGACCTGCGAGCGGCGTTGAGCCATGATGTCGGATGACTGCCGTAAGTGTGTAAGGAAGCCACTGCACTAGGAGCGACGTGTCGTCGCAAAAGAGTGGCACCTGCACGGTGTTTGGCAAATCATACATCTGTCTGGTTTTGTGCAGCTGCCCGCTCCTGTTCTGAAACCTGGGTAGCTGGAAGAACAGCCACTGTCCTGCAACAGTGAGAGCTTGACGATCATCCTGCTCATGCCAATGCTGTATGATATACTGAAGGCTTGGTCTATGCAGTGGGGGAGGGGTAAGTTGTATGCATTGGGTCGTCCGCACTATGGCAGTCCTGACAACTTGAAGCGGCGAATGCATGCTTTGCCGGCGACCTTGCCAGCTCCCCCTGAAGGACCTAGGAGCTAATCGTGGATGTACGTAGTCAATCAGCTCAGCTATGTCGTGCTGACTCTCAGGGTCACGCCAGCCAAGCATGCAAAACCCCATGAGCCCCATGGCTCGATTCCCCATGCGACCTGCCAACTGTTGCATCACCCCCGGAAGCTGAGACCACAGGGAGGTGGCCTTTGCAGCAGCAGCGAGAGCATACAGGAAAGCATTCAGATAGCAATGATTGCCTGGGTTGAAAAGGGTAAAGTCAGGCAAACAGTACGGCTGATCTTGTGACATGGTACTTGTGTCCACGTGGATAGGGCTCGTACTCAGCTGCGTGGCAGCTGTATCAGGATGCCCCGGGCGATTCGGCTGTTTCACCGCTGTCCGAGCAGCTGTGCAACTTTCTTCGCCGCATTGGATCGCTGCAGCGACTCTCGCTTCATCGAGACCCCGATCAATTGCCACACCGAAAGATTGGCCAACCTGGAGAAGGCCTCGTGAACTTCCCCCGCTTTCTCCCCCCGTAGGGAGATCTCCAGCAGAAACACAGCTTGGGGTTTCTGGTCTGCCGAGCCCTCCAATTGCTTGAGTGGTCGAGTGCTGCAGAACTTGTGTATTATCTCCCCCTGCATCGCTGTCAACAAGAATGTCAGAAGACGGATGACCTCGTCGTGTGCCATGGCAGACTGGGCCGGGTTGGGGATGAGCTTCTTGGTTCGATGACAGAACTTCATGAAGCACCACTCGCCTCCAGCTGTCATCCAACTGGCGGCCTTGAGTTTGTCCATCCCCTCGGTGGTTGCCACCATCTTCTGGATTCTTTGCATCAGTTCCCGAATGAGACAAGCTAAGAGGAGAGTTCTCAATGGGGACTGAAGCTTCTCGGGTTCGGTCTCGCGAGTGTGGTTCCACTCTTTCGAGATGGCGTACATCGCCGGAATGAGCGAGAACTGATCTTGGCGTGCAAAAAGCACGAAGCCCTTGTCCATGCGCAATGCCGCCAACTGATCTTCGTGTTGCACTAGCAGCCTTGCTAGTAGCTTCAAGCTTTCCATCAGATTTCCTGTGGGCCGATTGCCTTGCTGTTTTTGCAACACCTGATTCCCCGGCTTCTGTGTGGAATCTTCCTGTCGCGGTCGCTTGCTCGGTTGATCCTTGGTTGGCGTCTCGGCCTGCGAATGGAACGACAGTAAGCTCGGATGGCAGTGTGCAAAGATCTCGGCTTCCGGATTGAGTTCCGCCAGATCGTTCACTGACCTGTCGGCTGTGAAATTCTTTGGCTACACAGACCTGGTAAAGAACAACACATTGTTGCGCGTGTCGTCCCGGGCTCCAGACTTTTCCTCGGCACCAGGGACAGTCATGGCCACTTTTCAGCTGCTGCTTAAAGGTAGCACACAACTTGATCGCCGCATCATGCAGTCCAGGAGATTCCTTATCATGCACCCTAACAATGTGTTGCTTGACCTTGCAAAAACTAGCAACCCACATGTGGCAGATGGAACAGTGCGACTGCAGATCCGCGCGGAGCCGATGATCACGGAGCAGTGCTTCCCAGTCATGCAATCGACTTAAGAAATCGTGTCTGCGAACTAACGGCATGTTTTGATGAACACCCGTGGCGGTCGCCGGGTCAATCGCTGCTGTGTCATCAGTCGACGCCACCTGAGCGTCTTGCGTATTGATAGGGTGTTTGGTGAGGCTTTCTCCTCCGAGGACATGGCAGGAGCCATCTTCTATGTGCCGGCGAAGCTGCTGCCACCTGCCGAAGCGACGATTGCAAAGCTGACATTGGGGGAGGCCCCCACAAGCATGCAAATGGGCTTGAAATTTCACCGGTTTGCTCGTGGCATGTTCCGGCAAGTAGCCATGCTTCAGCTTGCAGTGTATACGCCGTGCATTATCACTGGAGAATGGCATGGCACACTCCGGACACAGGTGATCAAGAGTAGCGTCCTCAGTGGACTGTTGGGTGGTTTGGCTACACTCATCCACCAAACGCCGCAGGGAGGCTATGAGAGAGTCGAGTTGATCAAACACTGCCTGTTCCGTGGTGATATCCGGTGCCTCAAGCCGCTTGGCTTGCAGCTTGGCAGTGAAATTTTCGACGGCCCCAAGCAGGAGGCGTCCTGCAGGTACCTGGCGAGCCCGCTCCCAAATGGAGGCATTGGTGCTGTGGGTGAGGTGTGCAGGCTGTCGGAAAATGGCGCGCAGGTGCCTCACCATGACCTTTTCAAGTTTCTGAAGACCTATCTTGGTTACCCCAACCGCCGGCAAGGAATAGACGAGACTGGTCTGAACACAAGCAGCCCAGAGACGAACTCTATGATGGCTCGAGAGAACATGGGTGCCGTTCAAGACCTTTTTGAGTTGCTGATGTTTGGCCTGTCCGGCCTGCACACGGGAATTGAGATTTTTGTCAAGACGATGTCGATATGAAACCTGTGTGCCCAGATATTCGTGTGAGTCCTTAATGGGAATGAGCTCAATTTGGCCATGTACAACCACTTTCAAGAAACGTTGCCCATTTTTTAGACAGCAATGCTCATGAAGAATGGCTTTGGCTTGTTTGCCCTCAATTCTCAACAGGATGGCAGTCTTTTTATAATTGATCTCCATTTTGTACTCCACTAAGGTTTCAAGTATGATTGTTAAGTCATCCAAGGCCCTGTAGAAATCTTCTTTACACTTCAAGACCCAACTCCCCCACGTGTCATCAGCAAAAAGCGTAATGACCCGCCTTGCCCAATCGCCATCGCGTTTGGCCTGTAGGGTATGGAGAAGGGCCAAGGTGTAGTAGCACCAAAGAAAAGGTGCAATGAGACATCCTTGTTTAAGCCCGTTGGTTGTGACAAGGGCATGCTCCAAGGAGCCGGCTCGGAAGATATAACGGGCATCCTTGTAGAGTTGCTGCACTATAGAGATTACATCCTGTGAGACCCCAAATTCGGACAACGTACCATACAGTCTAGGCCGATCAGTCAGATCGAAAGCTTTAGTCAAATCCAAAGATAAGCTTAAGCCACCGAAGAAGGGGAGTCTCTGGCTCCCCTGGTGCTGCTGGAAGCGGTCGAGTCTATTGGCTCTCAGGAGCTGACCCACTTGCTCGAAGTGTCCATGCACGCGGAGGATGGCATTGAAAGTTCCTCTGCACTTCGTGTAAGCACATTGGGGCTGGAACTGCAGGAGAGGTGTCAGGACATCCAGCAGTTTCTGGCGAACTAGCCCAGCCACTACTTTAGCTGATGGACACTGCAAGCCTATGGGTCGGAGGTTGGCTACCTCCGTTGCAGGTTTATTGGGTTTCGGGATCAGGGACACATGTGCATCATGGAGCTCCTGCTGAAGACGGCAGACACTGCCAGCTCGAAAGTGTGTTCGAAGAGCAGGGCCCAGTGCCTGACTAAGGCCGGAAGAGCACAGCTTCCAACATGCCGCCGGGGCTTACAGTTTTGGGGACTGCCTTGGCCACCCCCAGTTTGCGAAGCTCAGCCTGTACCTCTGCATCTGTGATGTGAAAGTCTTGATGCAAGCAGCTGATTTCAGAGTGATCTGAATGCTTGGCAAAAACAGCCTTGGCGTGTTGCAAGATTTGTTGAAGCTCATCGGCCTTGCTCTGCAGAGCACCCGAAGGGCTGCGAAGGCGGGATACAATCTGAAAAGACGAAGGAGCCAGGCTCCTGACGATCTGATGCAAGACGCGCTGGTTGCCTGCCACAGCGGCTTGTTCGGCTTCTTCCAGTTTGCTAAGCAGAGCAGATCGTTTGAGTTGCTGACTTTGGGCCCGCAAGGCCGCAGACGCTCTACGGAACCTGGCATAGTCAAACCATTTTCTCCAAACTCTTAATCCATAGGCTATTCGAGGGGCCTTGTAGACCCGATAAAGGCGCCAAGTCTCTCGAGCAGAGGCTCGATAGGGCCCTTGCGCACTGATGCGTGTGTCAGGTCGGGGTCGGAGGGGAAAGTGCCTACTGAGGGCATCTAACATAACCTGATTTGCACCGTTTCGGACACCCAGCAAAGAGGTGGCCTGCAGGCCAGGCAGTCGGCCTTCCACATCAAGGCGGAGGGCTTCGGCCTCCGGACTTTGTGTTATGACGGCAAGCTGTAGTGCTTTGGTGTCGTAAGCTGCAGCTACAGGGCGGGATGCCTGGGGTCTACGGTGAAAAGGTGTCACTGGTAGACAGGCCTCCACGGGCCAGTGTCCGTCCTTGCGCCACGCACCTACCGGGAAGGAATGCTGGGGCCTAGCCATCTTAGCTAATCCTTTGCTATCCCGAATGCGCGCCATCACAAAGTCGATTTGAGTTTGGCCCTGATGGGATTCGAAGGTGTGGGAGGGTTTAGCAGCCCAACTATTCAGCACACACAAGCTATGTTCCCGAATCAACCTGACCAGGGATTTATCAGTGGTAGCGGAGCCTGCTTTGGCTGTTGCAGCCGGCCCAACGTGGGGCGGCAGCGGCTGAAGCACAGAGTTGTAGTCTCCTGCCACCATGACAACATGTCGTGTGGGGATGCTGAGGAGGAGGGAGCTAAGCTTGTCCCAAATATCATTCCTATAGATATGGTTCTGTTCAGCAGGAAGCTTCGATCGCCAAACATGCTGATAAAGGCCGATGACATCAACAGTCATGTGAGTCCGGATGTGTGTGGCGCGAAAGTGCACCAGCCGACCCGGGTAAACCTCTTGAAATGCCATGTTTGTGAATACCTCCGTCCGTGCCAATACAAGGATGCCTCCGTGTTTGTCGTAGGACACCTCTGTGCCAAAGCCTGAAGAATGCAGACACGACCAACCCCCGCTACGAAAATCGGAACAGGGCCCCCAATGTGTTTCTTGTATAACAACAAGATCGTAACGATTCTCTTGATCTAGCCAGGAAAGCAGTTCCTGGAACAGGGCAGAGGTGAGGCCACTGGAGTTCCAACTGAAGCAACGAACATACGGCTGTCGGGAATGCTGAAGCGTCCTGCTCCGCGATGCTATGCTATGGGGCTTAGGGCTAGAAACGGGAGTGTTAGACATGGCTTGAAGGGTTTCTCTGGTGCACCACTGTCCTCGATAGAAGGTGCCACCAGACAGCGACTGTTGTGCACGCAGCCTGGCTCTTCGAAATGCTCGCTTTGTGCTTTTTGCATAGCTAGTGGACTCACGAAAGCCTAGACCCTGCGCAGTTCCACGATGCTTCCCCAACCCAGGCGGGTTGGGTCCTTCTCCTGCCGTGGCAGCAAGAGAAACCCTCGCTTCAAAGGTGGTTACAAGCAACATGAGTAGACACCTTGCTCTGCCACCTCCGACGGAATTGGGACCGCCGCGGCCTAAAGGAGCTTGTGTGCATGAGTGAGTTTTACATTGTCTACTTTGAGTGTGTCCTTGAATTGCGCCTGACCCTTGGGAGCACCCTGTCTCCAACCGCCAGCAGCTGGCATCATGGCCAGCCCGGCCAACACACCTGCTGTGTCGTGCTGGGGCTGGGAAGGAAGCGGGGTGAGGTTGTGTAGGGACAAACAAAGTGGTAGAGGATCGGCGGGATCGCGTGGTGTTACGTTTAGGGTACCTAGCTGGTACAGGCCTCTGGAAGGGAGCAGCACGTAGATTTCGTGATCGGTAGAAGACAAACGGCTTGGGCACTGCAGTTCGGAGATCACCCGAGACGCTCGTCTCTGGGTGCATGCCCTTCTTCCTGCACAAAACCCAGCCAGTCGTGCAGTCTCGAGTTGGACAGCAGGCGGCCGGCCACCCACTTGGTGGAGTTCCAGTCACGCTTTGCAAGATCACGCTTGGCCCATCCCAGTCGTGCTCCATGGGAGCGAGCACTGTCAGTAGGCCTGGTGGCATGCAGTTCTCGGCGGTAAAGGTCCAGCACGTATGATTTGGCTCTGTCCAGAGGGGGCCCGACCAGCTCCAAGGAGACGATGCTGGGCAGTTCAGTGGAGACAGATGTGTTGCGAGAAGTGTCGCTCTCGCTGGTGCTGGAGCCGCTCTCGATTCCATCAGAGACGTCATCAAGGGCTTGGCTAGAGAACCCCTGCTTGCCACGCATTCTGACAGGCGCCACAGCCGCAGCATTGGCATCAGCATCACGATCAGCCACAGCATCTTGGGTCTCTTGAGGATTCCTTGGTGAAGAGTCTTCGATGGGATCACCTGCCCCAGACTCGGCCGACCCGGAAGCCGCTGGTCGTCGAACAGCCGACTCGGAAGCCGCTGGTCGTCGAACACCATGGCGCCGCATCTACGCCCTCGAGGGCGCTCACTCAAAAACAGCTCGGACCGTGAAGCTTGATCATGGTTGTCATCATCATCATCATCAGCACCAGCATATCCCATTATCCCATCGTTGCCATCGATATCACAAAAAGCATCACGATCGTCATTGATTCCGTCGTTATCACAATAACGAAAAGCAAAACGAACACTGTCGTCAACGTCATACCGAGTCATACCATCGTCACCAAAAACACCACGTAGCTTTAGTTGCTTGTGGTCATCGTCACCGGCGTAGCCACCACCACCACCACCACCACCACCACCACCACCACCACCACCGCCACCAGTCGTCATGTTTGCACTCATACCCTGCGTTTCTTCATCATGCGGTGTTGCATAGTGTTGGCACTCGTCCTGACTATCATCATGCTGTGCTTCTTGGGCCACGACGGGTAATCTACCGAGCATGTCCGTGACGGTGGCCGTCATCGTCATAGTCTTCCGTAGCCTTCGTCAGCATGATCGTCCTCGCACGTTCCTGTTCGTCTTCATCGGCATGTTCAGTGTAGTCATTGCATGCTCAGCATCATGTGGTGGCCAGTGTTGCTATCTTCACCACTATCATCGTCATCAGCAGACGATATTCGAAGTATCACCCGCAAGAAGAGAAAGTCCTCATCATCGCCCCTCCTGCTGTCAGACTCGCTGGAATTCATTGGTGCCCAGACACCGATGCGAGAGCACGAATAGTCGAAGCAGTGCATCCAGTTTGGGAGCATCCACGACAAGCCCATGACGACGTCTATATGTAGCATCCATGCCACCGAGCTACCCACTCTTGCGAGCAACCAGGGCGATCCCATGATTAAGTTTATCCCGCGCTAGCGGCCATTTGTCCAAGCCGAACTGGCCAACCAACCTGAATTTATGCAAACTACGGAAGCCACGGCGTGAGAGCCGATGCTTCTGCATGCTTACATCCCACACCACCGACACCAAAAATGAACGGCTTTGTCGAGGATCAAGACGATATTGTCTGGCGAAGAACGCGATGATAAAGAGGTAATTCAGGACGATGTTGGCCATGGTGATGATGATGATCACCATCATGATCATGATGATGTGGTCAATGACGTGGATGATGATGGTGATGATGATGCGAAGAAGGAGGAGCCAGGAGGAGGAGGAGGAGGAGGAGGAGCAGAAGGAGCAGAAGGAGCAGGGGCAGGAAGGGCATCATGGTCATGCTCATGGCCGTGGCCATGATCCTTGTGGCGGTGATGATACGAATGATGATGATGATGATGATGATGGTGATGTCGATGATGTCATGGAGGACGACGAGGAGAAGGATCTTGACGGTGGTAACGATGTCGTTTCAAGGATGACAGTGATGCCTGTGATGACACCACCACCACCATCATCCTCATCGATTCAGTCTCATCATAATCGTTTTAAGCAGCACTGTACCCAGAAGGTAACCAGACTCCCATGACATTCAGCTCCCGAACTCTGATGCTGTTTCCTGGCTCCGGAGTCTCCAAGAATAGATGGGGGGGGTGCCAAAGTGTAGGCGCGTCTTCAGGCGACGCCGTAGTTTATTGTTGCAAGGGGAAATTTCAGGTCTGAATCCGTTTCCCACATCCCCCTCCTCAGACTAGCATGTAGTTTCCACACCTTTGGCGGTACACCCATCTCATGAAAGCTCATCAAAGTCGAGGGCGCTGATAGTCTGTTTACAGCTAAGGCGACCTTGAAGACATGGTTGTTCAGATAGATGTAAGAGATACCGAGGTAAGGGATATGTTGATCACATTTCGGCCTCGAAACCTCCGAATAGTAGAGGCGACGTTTCGCACACCAGTAGGCCGTCTTGTCTTGATGGGGTCTCCTGGTGGTCTTTGGCAGGTCTGCTGGGGTCTCCTGGTTTCTTGGTGGTCGTCCTGGTCATCGTGGTGGTCCTGGTGGTTGTGGTCGTCTTGTCATGGTGGTCGTGGTGCTCTATCCTTGTTGGAGGATCCATGCTGGCTGCTGGCATCATTGAAAGACACCTCTTGGATATCACATCGTACCCGTGTTGTACTCACTTGGCCTCCCCTGCTCCCCAAACTGCAAACCCAGTTTAAAGCTGGCGCATAAGGAAAGCGATCAGAAGCAACCTCCGGTGTACAGGCTTCAGGGCTCCAGGTTACAAAAAAGTTGTGGCCCAGGCGTTACCGCCCCTCTTCTAGCACCGACGACCGCAAATGTCCCAGGCGGCACCCGGTTTTTGTTTCGCTGGAGCAACCTGTTACGTAACACCCGTGTAGCTCTTTCCCTGTAGTAGTAACCTTTAACCATTCCGGTGAATCATAATCCCCTGTAGGCCTAGGTTGACCTTGAGCTCTCCAGGGCCGGGAAACGGTGAAAGATGAACTAAGCCAAACGACGTACAACACTTCCTACTAAGAACCATTAAGAACCTATACGTCTGTCGGGCTTGAGTTCTGGAGTTGTTTTCCCGAAGGCCTGGCGAAGGATAAATTCCCATGAGGTGGTTAAGATGGCGGTTTGGATTGAATGACGTAATGACAGTGTTCGGATGGCATGATGTGGTGCTGCTGTTGAGGTGAGGTTGTATCTAGGTTGCATGGCATCGGTTCTTGTGGTTCACGGGTCAGGGCCAGCGGGAGCCGCCGCACACCGTAAAGATGGGTGATGCCGTGACGATTTCTGCTCGGAGTAGCCAAGCATCTCTCCTTCCCACGCGCATGTGGTGCCGCGGTGCCGTGACGATTCGTGTTCCGCAGTGACCCGCCCGTTGCGGTGATGCCGTCGCGTCCGCATCAGGATGCCCGACCGAAATGCAATTATGTTCCAGTACATCGGCCTCACATTGAGCTCGAAATGACAAACCGTCTCTACCGGCGTCTTCGGATCCCGGTCAGCACGATCCATTGTAAATTACAAGACGGTGTGGCGTCACGATCTCAGAATGACAATGCTTTCGGAGGAAACATGTTGGCTGCGTCTCTGAATCTCGCACCGGTACATTTGGGGGCAGCAGTTTCGAAGTTTTCTTGATTCACGCCTGGATGGGTGGATGAACAGGCGCGTGGATGGATGGAAAGATGGATCGAGATGGATGGATGGATGGATGGATGGACGGACGGACGGACGTACGGATAGATAGATGCATGGATGGATGGATAGTTGGACGGACGGATGGATGCATGGATGGATGGATTAGAAGAGATGATGTTGGGTGTTTAGGGTGTGGGGATTGTCAGATTGAAGCTTCCAGCGATTCAGCGTACAGCAGTCGCCCTACAGCTCGAAAGCCTTAAACCCTCAACTCGATTCCGGGATCTGTATTGGATGTCAGGCAATGGCTCTCTGGTTGAAAGGTGGACCCTGCCTAAGGGCCTAAGCCACTAAAGAGGAGAGCACTCTGCGGCCGCGATGAACCCTGTGTTTGGACCACGGCATGAACACAAGCCTAGTTTTCGTCGACCGCGAGGTTCAGGGTTGCGGGGTTTTAGGCTTCAGATTTGAGCGCTCAGACTTACGGGAAGGAAGGATGCTTGACGGTCCCATGCACGGAACTAATGGAGTCCTGTGGTGAAGTGGGCATCGGGCATTGCTTTATTGCGGCTTCGGTGTAGCATCCAGCGTCTCCCACAACAGGTTGAGGGTTCAGGGATCCGGAATTCGTGTTGACACCTTCAGGTTTTGAAGGTTTTATGTGCTTCCATTCCTGCACGGAGCTGGGACTCTGAGTGTTTCCAGCAAGCCTTATCCCTTCTCTCACTCTTGGCGGTTTTCTGGTAGCATCTCTGAGTAGCTTGGCCCCCTTGAAGCAGAGTCCGTCTGTTTCGACCCTTGGGAAGTAGAAATCGGCTCCAAGTCCTACTATCAGGTTTTAAGAGTGCAAGGTCTAGGACTCGAAGCCTCGATGCGGCCTTAAACCCGGCTGCATAGGAAACCCTCAGATGGCGGACTCTAGACCCGCGACCTGTATAACCCTGTCGCAAAAAGCAGGCATTACGTATTCCGTCGAACCACACAGGCAAGGCCTCACGACAGCGGATTTTGAACGGGGCTTTTCGTTAGGTTGGAGGTTTTGGGGTTTCGGGGTGTTGACTTCGGTCTTTCGGAGCGCGCTTCTTGGAAAGCTGGGATCAAAACTATCAGTCCGGATGCTGAAGCTTGTCAATCCCAATCCTTAGGCCTTAGGCCCCCCGCCTGAAATTGAAAGACACAAAGCAGGACAACCAAGTATCATTATTGTGACCACCAGCGACATTGTGATCATGAACCCAGTCAAGATGCTTGTGTTGAGCACAAATAGTTTCTTTCGAGTTGGAAGCACTGATCGCATGACTCGTGTGAGTGTCAGGCAACACAGTAACTATCACAGTCTTGAAGCAAAAGCAGCGGGAACAGCAGCTGACATTCAAAATCACCCTGATGACAGCACTGCTAACTGTAATATTGATTCAAGGGTACGGGGTCGGCAACAAGCAGCAAGGCAGATCAGGCAGCTGCCAAGGAACCCATACTACCCGGTAGTACAGGTGCCCTCAACCGTCCGTCAATGTAGCAATCGCTAACCTGGCCAGTAACTCCTTAAGTATTTATTTGCTCTCATCCTTCACTTGACCCAACCTTCAACCCCTGAGCTTTGCAGCGCCTCGTTGTGGAAAGGCCCCAGCATGAAAGCAACCCCGTCGCCGCCTTTGTCCTCGGTTCGGGTGCCTCTTGGCGGTTAGGCTTCGAGGTGTAGTCTAGGGTTCAGGTTGACGAAGGAAGTTAAAGGAAGATGTTGGGAGGTGCAGGCGTTCCGCTCCTCCTAGGAAAGCATGATAGCTCAGACCTGAAAACACTAGACACCTGAAGCCCCAATCCGCAACAACGTGAAAGCCAAAGACCCATGCCATGAATAAAAGGAGCTTCGAGATTATGTGGTCTCCTTAACAATTCGAACTCAGTTCTGAATTTGGCGAACGGCAGCGGTATGCTGCGGAAGGAACTCCACTGTTTCAC